TATCCTCAGTAGGATACGAGCAGGAATGCAAAGAGCTTGTGAGGTTGTCACCCATACATGTTTCGTAATGGAAATGAGTTTTCCTAAGAGGACTCATTTCCCCATATGTTAGGTCTTTTGCTACTTGATAAAGGTCTGTCAGCTAAGGGGCTTCTCTTCTGAGGTCTTTATTCCCCAGCAAAACATCCTTAGTTCTCTACAGAAGGAAAATGGATCTCCTCCCCAGAAATTTATAAGTTGTTTGAAGTCATGATGATTTCTTTTCATTGGACTGCAATTTATTTTTGCAGCGTCTTCTCCAAAGTCCACTCTTTAGTGGCATTCCTCCTCGGAGTTGACATGGATAAATGGTAATCTTGCATTCCAGTTCTTACCCAGTGGTTGGTAGTTCAAATTGTTTATTCTTCAGTGAAGGTTGCCATTCCATACATGGGGCATATTGCCATAATTTCACTTTTTCATGTGATGTTGGTCTTTTATGACAAGAAGCATACCAACAAATGAATCAAGAAGGGTTTGTATGCGACCAATATGAAGATTTCTATGGAATGGGATCCAATTTCCCTAGTGAATGCATCCTTTCTTGTTGGGGCTTTCTTCGGGTAGTCTCGTTCTTGTGTTTGCTAGTAACTCTAAACATATGTTCTTGATGCTCAATTTTTCTATTGTATGTCTAACTCTGACTAGACATGCATATATTTATCCCCTGTGAGTTCTCCTTGGATCGGCGTCCTTTTCTTGTAAATCTACCTTAGGCATAGTATTCCTTGATGAAGATTCCCCTTCAGCTGTTTTCTTTATCTTAAAATCCACCCCGGCTGGTACCTTTTGTTTAGAATCCCCTTTGGCTGGTCTCTTTTCATTTGCAAGTTCTCCTTTGATCGACGTTCTTTTCTTAGGAATCTACCTTCGAAATAATATTCCTTGACAAAGATTCCCCTTCGGTTGGTTTCTTTATCTTGAAGTCAACCTTCGGCTGGCACCCTTTAAAATCCAACTTTGGCTGGTACCTTTTGTTGAGAGTCCCCTTCGGATGGTGTCTTTTCATTTTCAAGTTCTCCTTTGATCAACGTTCTTTTCTTAGGAATCTACCTTTGGCATAGTATTCCTTGATGAAGATTCCCCTTTGGCTGGTTTCTTTATCTTGAAGTCCACCTTTGGCTGGCACCCTTAAAATCCACCCTCGGCTGGTACCTTTTGTTGAGAGTCCCCTTCATCAAGTCTCTTTTCATTTCCAAGTTCGCCTTTGATCGACGTTCTTTTCTTAGGAATCTACCTTCGGCATAATATTCCTTGACGAAGATTCCCCTTCGGCTGGTTTCCTTATCTTGAAGTCCACCTTCGGCTTGCACCCTTTAAAATACAACTTCGGTTGGTACCTTTTGTTGAGAGTCCCCTTCGGCTTGTCACTTTTCATTTGTAAAATCGCCTTTGATCGACATTCTTTTCTTAGGAATCTACCTTCAGCATAGTATTCCTTGATGAAAATTCCCCTTCAGCTAGTTTCTTTATCTTGAAGTCCACCTTCGGCTGGCACCCTTAAAATCCACCTTCGCCTGGTACCTTTTTTGAGAGCCCCATTCGGCTAGTCTATTTTCATTTGCAAGTTCGCCTTTGATCGATGTTCTTTTCTTAGGAATCTACCTTCGGCATAGTATTCCTTGATGAAGATTCCACTTCGGCTGGTTTCTTTATCTTAAAGTCCACCTTTGGCTAGCACCCTTAAAATCTACCTTCGGATGGTACCTTCTGTTGAGAGTCACCTTCAGCTGGTCTCTTTTCAATTATAAGTTTGCCTTGATTGGCGTTCTTTTCTTAGGAATCTACCTTCGGCATAATATTCCTTGACGAAGATTCCAATTCCGCTGGTTTCTTTATCTTGATGTCCACCTTCGGCTGGCACCCTTTATATCCACCTTCCGCCGATACATTTTGTTAAGAGTTCCCTTCGTCTGGTCTCTTTTCTTTGTAAATTCTCCCTTGATCGACATTCTTTCCCCTTTAAATCCACCTTCGGATGGTATCATTTGTTAGGAGTCCCCTTTGGCTGGTCTCTTTTCTTTGTAAGTCTGCCTTTCATCGGCTTTCTATTCAGAGTCAATGTCTATTTGTGTCCCCAGTAGGTTCGCCTTCAATTGGCGTTCCTTCGTTAGAGCCTTCTTCGGTTGGTCTCTTTCTTGTGTATGTCTAACCTTGACCTGACATCCAAGAGATTTACTCAGGTAACTAATGCAATCTAAAAAAGCAAAAAAATAGAAAATACAGAAAACCAAAAAATATAATAATACCTGACTGGCTTCGGAGTGCAAATTTCTGGTTTCTTTAAGTATTTAATCTTCTTCCACCCTGAAAGTTCGAAAGACTGACGCCAATCTCACCTTCAGGTTGAAGGCGATTAAATAGGGGCAGCTGTTGCACCCCGAAATTTTCCCTTCTAATTTCTTTTATTTGGCTTAGGCTTAGCGTCGCATTCACATCTTTTCATTAGGTTTCTAACATAGCATACATTTGGTTCAATAAAGTACCATGGATTCAAAGGACCAGTGAAGTAGAAATATCAAAGTTTTACAGTGATTAGTCGTGCATATCAAATAAAGGTTGGTTTCTTCTAATTCTCCTGGCTAGACTTCTAAAAGCGAAAAAGTGTGGAATTAGGGTTTGGTTGTTAATTGGTTTCATATTCACTATGAACGATTATCCCATCAATTAAGACTCGGTGAATTATAGTTGCATCTCATGGGCTATCTCGAGCATCCTTCGAGTCTTATTCCCTCAACATCTCGAACGCGTCTTAAGTGGATTAGGGTTCATGTCCGTAGTGTTAGCACTGGTTAATTCAATTAAAGATTCATTATGCTCCATGCATCATTCTTTTAATACTTATCTCTTGAGGTTGAATTGAGTTTGAAGTTAGAAATTTTGGCAAGAAGGTAGGTTGATTTGGTTTTTTTTGCTCATTAAAAATTGAAGTCATTTGAATCCATTGTGGCGAGATGTTCATTCACGTGGGCTGTGAATTTAGTGTTACCAAGCGATCAATTGATATGATCCAAGATTTTTGTTTATGGATTCTTTATGGCATCAAAATTGATTCGTCAAAAAACAATACAAGGGGTGCATTAAGATTTTTCTTGAGGATCCACATTTCATAAATTCAAGATGCATCTGTGGCTTGGACTATAAAGTGTAGACCATGGTCTTGGCACAAGGAGAATATAGTTTTAATTCATCTATCCACAACACAATCAATTAAGGTTTTGAGTTTTTTTTTATTCAAAGAGTTGTCTTTGGCTTGGAGTGCAAGGTGTGGACAATATGAACTTCAACATTGAATCTGGTTTTTCTATGAAATTCAAGAATGACATAACATTTGATTAAGATCCAAGTATTGATTCAAGATATTGTTTTAAGTTATAAGGAAAGCGTCATGGTTAGTGCAAGTATTGGATTAATTTTCCTTTTGGTAACATAAAGCCAAAATTTTGATTGACAATATTATTTCAAACATGTAATTGGAGTTCAACTATGGTGGAACTATGAAAGGTACATAACTTGATTCAAACATCGTGGAATTCATCATTAAAGTATTGATTCAATTCCATTCAAATAATCAAACATCATTTAAGGTTCTAAAAAATGTTCTTCAAATCCCATTCAAAAGACATATGAATCCATTCAAATGCATTTCGTTCACTCGAGTTCAAATACAAGCTCAAGGTATCATGTAGCTTATTACAAAGTCATGCTTAAACCGAATTATTATCATTCAAGATTTGAAATAGTTTAAAGATTGGAAAATAAAATAAGCTCAGACTAGAAAGTCAAGATGGAACAAATTTGCTTACAAGACAATACAAGGTTTATCCTATTATAAGTACATGGTGCCATTACATGCTTGAAGCATACAAAAAGAAACAATTACAAGGCATTTGGTTCTATGTTTTTAAGCCTAAATATCTAAATTCTTAAGGACACAACTCCATGCTTTCACCAAATTGTGCATCTATTGCTTCTTACTAGTCTTTATTAGCATACCTTGGCTTCAAAGGAAGGAAACCCGATGGCCTCGTTAGCACTTCTGTTTCTATTGAAGAGTTTCATGAGGCAGATGAAAATATCAGGATTGAAGAAAACAATTATTCCAATAAATATAACCTACTCAATCAGACGAGACTTTATGGCATTTGTCAAGGATAGCCGGAAGATTCTAGCAAATAATAAATAGAAGTATAGCCAGTTCGATTCACAAAAAAACTGCATCAGGGAAAATTCAGAGTTAATTCAGAAATTGTATCAAAACAACATCATTCCAGTAATCTAAACCAATTTCATACTAGTAGTTCAGACCAATTCAGAAGTCCAGTCCCTTCCTAAAACTCTCACATATTCTTGTTTAGCTTCAACATAAATCAGAAAATACGAAAGGAGTATATTAGAAAATCAGGAAATGCTTCAGACCAGATGAAATTGAATTCACAACAAACCTGTATTCAAGCAAACTGACAATTAGACTCAACTGGCCCTGCATACAATTGCTAAAGTCATGCCAAAGTGGTTCATAGCTTGCATTGAACTTGAATCCAAATACGGCAGCCATGCTATGTTCACAAACACAATAAACATCTCAGTTCCACAGTCCACAATTTTCAAACCATAAAACTGTAAATACTCCCTGCATTTTGTTCATGCCAGAAATCAGAAAACAATGAAAATAGCATAAAGTCAAGAATTAATGGCTACACACTCATTAACGGAAAATAAAGAAAAGAAGAACAAAACTCATAGTTTTTCAGCTCACCATCAATTAACAGAAAACCTTCCTCGTATTCACAACAAACCTGTATTCAAGCAAACTGACAATTAGACTCAACTGGCCCTGCATACAATTGCTAAAGTCATGCCAAAGTGGTTCATAGCTTGCATTGAACTTGAATCCAAATACGGCAGCCATGCTATGTTCACAAACACAATAAACATCTCAGTTCCACAGTCCACAATTTTCAAACCATAAAACTGTAAATACTCCCTGCATTTTGTTCATACCAGAAATCAGAAAACAATGAAAATAGCATAAAGTCAAGAATTAATGGCTACACACTCATTAACGGAAAATAAAGAAAAGAAGAACAAAACTCATAGTTTTTCAGCTCACCATCAATTAACAGAAAACCTTCCTAGTTAACGGCATAATAGAATTTATACTAACCCATGCTTCACAAACTAAAAAACTATGCTAGCTAGCAGTTTCTAAACACCTTGTAACAAACATAACTGAATTTATGAGATCCTAACTTCCTCTAGCCTCCTAATTGTTTCTAACATAATTTCAACAACCTACTAACCATCATTAATCCCTAAATCTACTTCTCAAATAAACACTTAACTGTTTTCTGACTTTTTTTAACCTACTGAATTCATCCTTCAACATCTCAATAACTAAAATTTCCACCCTAAAGCTAACCTCTCTTCCCTCTACTGTCAGTTTAAAACCATGTCTATTTTCCCCTCTATAAATTTTCTCAAGCAACATCAAGAAGTTCAAGATAAGGAAAGAGAGAGAGACTGACTTTCTATTTTGACTCATCTGATTGCTACCTTTAGAAAATATTTGATTGGTTGTAGCACCACTGGTTCTGATATTGCTTCTTCGATGGAAATTGGGTGGCCTTCTAATGTTAGACATATTGCTCATGTTGCAGAATATCCTCAGGCTTCTTCCTGCAACCAAAACCCAGCCCTGCATTAAAAATCAAAAACCAAATTCAGGAAACCGCGAAAACAAAATGAAGTTAGGAAATAATGAAAATAGAAGTAAGTCAGAATTAATTAGCTAACTTCCATAATAGAATTCCGTAAACCGGATAACTCAGTAACAAAAATAAACGACTAGCTCATGTCATAGCAGATAAGGTAATATCTAACAGATTGCTAACTGAATAAGAAAAACCTATGTAACCGACTCTCATCTCACCATTCATTCACTAACTGAACCTTTCAAAACTCAGGGTTCAGATCAATTCAATCTTATCCAACTTTTTCAATACTAACAGACTATAAAAAAGAGAATTTACCTCTTCCAGGATCCCTTCTTCAAAATCATAGAAAAAAATCATAGAAAACACATCTCTTGAAGCTATCTCACAGCTCCATAATCATCTTAAACATTTTACACTTCATCCTCCAAACACTCTGAAAATATCACAAAAAACTCTCTCGCAAATCTTTCTCCAAATCTCTGCTCCCATTCTTCAACTGCAGAAGAATCACAAAAGAATAAGAAGAAACTCTCTCTGCATCATAACCACTGTTTCTTCTTCATCTTCATCTTCATCTTCATCCACCAACCTTCATCTTCTCGACAACCATGAAGAACCTTCATTTCCTCTTGTTGCTTCTTTCTGCACAACTTCAATCAACAAACGTGACTGCATCAACAACATCTTCATCAATCTCACTTTAATCTTCCGCAATCCTTCGCATCAATTCAACGGTGATACCATAAATCAGAAGCAGCAATACGCATCACAAAACACACAAGGAGCAATCGTATCGGCGAAATTGAAGAATAGAAGAAAAAAGGGAAGGGTGAAACACCTGTCAAGCCTAAGCTCGTCAGAAAACTCCCTTTCCCTGCCGCGGCACAACCCTCAGGTCTTCAATCAAGTTCGCCTTGCATTTTTTCTTGCTCGATTGCACATGCTCTGTCTTTTTGGATCTACGCTCCCTCCATCAGAGTTCGAATTCGTGAGTTTCTTTTAGACTTAGGTTTCTCTTTGTTTAAGCCATGGTTACGAATTCTGCATGGGAGATGATGATGAAGTAAAGCTCGAAAAGATGAGGGATCGGCTGAGAATTGATGGTGATCCATGGTGCCGCCGCAGTAACAGGTTTCTGCGAGAGAAATGAGAACGAAAGAAGGAACCTAGGGTTCAAAATGAGATTAAAGGTCGATGAACACCACTAAATGGTGTCGTTAAATCCATTGATTCACGGGTCATCAATTTTTGTTCATTTTTTTTTGTAATACTAAAGTTGTTTTTTTGGGCCAAAACGTTGCCCTCAACCCAACGAATACCTCATCACATATCCCAGCCAGATTATGGACCAAACCCACTTAGGCCTATTGGATTTTTTTTGTTTGCAGTTTGGAAGAACTATGATAAAAATATTTCATGGGTTGGGCTTAGAAAATAAATTGGGATTGCTATACAGTAGCATGGTGTCCAATTTGCACCCCTGTTTTTTTTTTTATTTTGCAAATTTTGGTGAATAAAAATGTTAATTGTTTGGACTTATCCCATTTTCTCATTACAAAAAAAAAATCAATAAAAACTTGTAGGATTTTTTTATTTTAGTTTTAGAAAATTAAATTCCGATTATCCGATTATATTTGAGATTGGTAGTTCACCTTTGCTTGTTGAGATGTGAATCTTATGTTGGTTTGTTGTACGATATGCGGATGCGCTTGAGATTTCGATTGCGATTTATTTTCACATCGATGACGCGTCGATACTTATTCCGAGTGTTTGATTTCTAACTCCTTTCTTTGATTGGTGAAGCTTCGTGAAGATCATCGGGTTTCTTTGTTTTGATAGGCTTTGCTACGGATTGATATTCGTTTGGTATTTTCCCTTGTTTATCTCATTTCAGTACTTTACTGCTTTCTAGATATCATGAGAAGTAGGAAATAAAGAGTGTGCGCTCGAAGTTGCTGTTTAAAAGACCTATAGCAGGCATTCCGCACTTAATTTCCTATATGTGTTATGCTTGTGTTTGTTTCCTTGGTTGTTAATCGATGAGTCACTCAATTTAGGAATTGGGATCACGACTTCGCTCTCAGTGCATGCTCCCTATAGGATTTAACCGCTTTCGTTGATTTCTTATTGATCGATGAGTCACTCAATTTAGAAATTGAGATCACGACTTCGCTCTCATTGCATGTTCCCCGTAGGATAGTTTTGTTAGACTTTCTTTGGCATTCTGATCTAGATACGACATCTCTAGGTGTGTTCTCTTGAGCTTATTGGCTTGCTTGCTTGATTTCGTCTTTGTGTGCATGTTTTGAGATGATATACCCAAGGCATGTTCCCTTAGGAGCTCTCGATTCAACTATAGACGATGATTCGAGATAAACATAGTTTTAGGAGATAGACCCTTGCTATGCTTCTTTAGGACTTCTTGATTCATCTATAGATGATGAGTTCAGATAGACATTAGGATTGTTATCCATGCATGATAGCACATGTTATAGATTTCCCTTTCAAAACTTAACCTTAGGATTAATCATTGTATGATAACATTAGAGATATATTTAGGTTAGTCTCCCTTTAGAGTTTTCTTTCTCCTTTTGCATTTGTATTAAAACAAAAACTTCTTTTTTCTTGCAAACTTCAAAACACTTAAAGATTACCGATGAGAGTCATACCTTTGTTGAGCATGGGAAATGATAAGCGGGTTTCATGTTGATCTTATTGTTCTTTCATTCTAAGCCTTGGTGTGGTTCAAGTCTCAAAGACTTATATCATAAATAAGTAGATAAATGGCTAATATATCTCTCTCTTGAGGTCAATTAGCTGTAATCTGCAGCAAAAACACCAAGCAACACAAACTCTTTTTGCCTACGGGATTTTCTTTCAAATTTTTTTCAAAAGAACATGTTAATTCACTTCTGTGCTGACGCGTAAGTCTCTAAAGGTCAAGTTGCGGTAGAAGGAGAAATTAATATTTTTCATTAACTAATACAAACCCACAAAAACTTGTTAGCCGAACTACGGCTGCTCTGATTGGTTAAAAGGGATACGTAGGTATTGGGGTAGGGCCCAAGCGAGTAAAATTTTATTTTCCCTACATTCTTTTCTCCTTTCTTTTGAATGAATTCCTTCTCAATAATAAACAGTAATCATAGTTTAAACACACCCATAAGATAGATAACAAGAGTGGATACCGTAGAGTACCATGGGCATGTGGGGTGCTAATACCTTCCCCTTGCGTAACAGACTCTCTTACCCATATCTCTCGGTTGTTTGATCGTGATTTCACCCTTATCATGTTTACTCTAAGTTTACCTTTCCTTTCCTGTTGGATAAAAAACGTTCGATGGCGACTTCATTGATTTCATTATCAGTTGATTGTTCAGCCGGTTGTTTCACTTGATAAACATCACAGTCCTACAGTCCGTTGATTACTTGAATGGTAGCACTCTAAATTTCTAAAAAGAAATATAGTACTAGAAATATACCTCTCTGAAACTCACCCAATAGACCAGGGTGTCTGCTTTGATACCAATTAAAATTTTGGTACATGCATTACGCATATATCCAAACATCAGAATAATGTTAAGATAGATGTTATAACATCTAGTAGTAGACCAGATCATTTAAGTTATAAATGATACATAAATAAAACTTCATAATGATAAATATCACATAGATTTTTCAACCCAATTTGATGCAACATCACCTACTCTGGGGGCTACCAAGCCAGAAAGGAAGTCAACTATCAGCAGTATTAGTTCAAAGCTAAACTCCATCATTTACAACTACTCGCCTAATCCCTACCCAATTCCACTTCTACCTAAGCACCTCCTAGATATGAGAAATTGCCATATCACTTCCTAAATCACCCCAGTGACTGCAACAAATACAACCCAATTTAGAAGATTACACTTCAAATACAAAAACTCAAATTCTTGCTTAAAATATTCGAATGAGAATAATAACTTGACTAACAGTCAAACAATAATCAATCGACCACATAGTATCAAAATATACACGGGTGACTTACAAACTACACAAGAGACTCTCAAAACCTAAGACTTATGCTTCCCTTAATTTTACAATTTTTGAAAACTAAAATTACATTAGGTTAGGATTCCTATTTAAATATAACTCTGCAGTCCATAAGTTTCTTTATCCATAAGATGGGTGATGCACTAATTGTGTAGCAAATCTCCTTAAATCTTGGCACAACCAATACATAGTTTTCTAAATTGTTTCAAGGCCCAATTTAGTAACTTTTGCACAACTGAAGATACAAATTTTTTTCAAAAAAAATCTTCTTGATCTTCGAAAATATCTGATATATATCCAAAGGAAATATAACAGAATCAAATTAAACCAGTCCAGATTTAAAAATATTAGTGCAAGCCTGCTGCATATCAGAATAGGTTGTTACGACATCTTGTTCAACATCTAGTCAGAACCATGTTTTAGCAAAATATTGCCAATCCATAAAACCATGGTACTAACACATATTGTGTCACATTTAGAATAGATTCTATATAAGAACTATTCTGGGTAAGACCTTATATGAATTATGGAAGAACATGAAGACCAACCTTTCTTAATTTCATATTATTGAATGCTCGTGGTTTATAATGAATTCTAAAGAGAGTCTTAACAAGTTTTAGTCTAAAACTCAAAGTTGTATCTTGTATAGATATTCTGAACACTCTACAAGCTAAAAAGTATACAAATAAGAGACACTTAGTGTTAAGGAATCAATCTATAATAGATTTGATGACAAGCTTAACCTTAAAAAGTCAAAGCTAGATGAAATTTTTGCAGATCTGGAGATTACCTCTTCAGACACGGAAGTAATCAAAGTTTCTACGTAAGGACAAAAAGTCAAATACTCGGAAGATTATCAATCTGAAGTTGAGGAAGCTTAAATAGGGATCATCACATGCCGAGGGATTGATTTTGGGTGTCTATACTGAACCTGGAAGAACCAGCCCATCGATCAAACTTTCTAAAGCAACATTTCTAAGTTTGGCAGCCGTAATAGAGTATGCATATATTTATAAAGAGTTTCTGAACAAATATTGGTTTCTGGCTACTCAAGAAGAAATCTATTGCTTCTCAGAAAATAATGACATGTGAGGAAAGGATTTGCTCACAGCATATGGTCTTTCAGAATGACGTATGGACTTCTAAGGTATGTATCCATCTTGTTGTTGGCTTCTGGAATGTGGTACTTCAATCTTATGAAACTATCATATATCAGAAGTGTCTATGGTAAATATATTATCTTAAGAATATCTCTGTCCATTAAATACTGAAGAGTTCAGTCCAGCATTTAATGTTTGATCAAGTGTATATGTTAACTCCTTTGTCTGATTTTATCAGTTACTGAGCAACTTATATCAATTGATTGACATATTGGATAAAAAACTATGTTGGAAATGAAATATTCTTAGCACACTCTATCCTATTCCTGTCTTTTTTGTCCTCCTCTCTTCCTGTCGCTTGTCTTAAAAATTGTCATTATCTCCACTCTCATAGTTTTCCTTTATTAGTCTACTAGTTTCGAGAATGATAATTCTCTGAAATAAATTGTTTCTCTTATTAGTTATGTTTCCTTCTCTCCTATTTATATCCCTCTAAGTCTTTTGATTTCTTCATCCTTTAGCATCCTATCCTTCATAAGTATTTTTCTCTCTCTTTCTCTGATTTTCATCATGTCTCTAGAAACATTCCATGACAATGAGGATATCCTTGAATTCATTCTTGTACTACATCCTAACATTCTTCGGTTAAGCATTGAAGAACTCAACTTAACACAAAGCATAATTGTACAAGCTTGGTCTAGGTATATTACAAAGCTGCATTGACCAATCTATCCAAATCTGGTCAAAGAATTTTGGTTGTACGCTTCTGTAAGCTTCATGATGCCTCCATCAGCTCTAGTATCTTTGGCGTGCCTATCATCATTACTCTTTCAACCATTGCTAATTCGATCAGTTGTGTTCAAACAAGCAC